GGTATTAAAAGATGATGAAACACCTTTCTCATCTGAATTCCAATCTTTAATTTTTCAGGATATAATTGGTTATTTTTCATCACCTAAATCCCCTCATAGTCAACTTCCCATCATCACCCCACCACATATACACACCTATGCAACATAGCAGCTGGCAACCTATTAATCATCATAGAACTAGCTTTTACCTTGGAAAGGTGTCATCTACAGCACTGCACCCCTATGATGCTGTTTGTGGATCTCTTTGTTCTTTGAGATACATCATTTCTGGATTTACATTATCATTGCCAGATAAAAGTGAAGTAGTAGTAAAGTTTTAATACAATATGCATTAATTAAAAGATCAGTGTTTGTAATGCACATCATTATGACCCATTGCCCTGCTATAGATTGACAGAGCAGGACAGAACAGGGCATAAGTATGTAATATAGTGGTTGGGGGCCCAGCCATACAATGCTTCTGTTCTCAGCACTGCAGCCAATAATAGGTGAAAGAACAGAAATACTGTGTAGCATTAGGATTTGATAATAAATGCTCTGTTTGTCACCTGTGAGTTTCAAAGCTCTTAACAAAAAGGGCAGTATTGTTATTGTCATTTCACTGATGGGATAAACACATAGTCAGGGAAAGTTACTTGCTGAAGGTCACGGAGCAGGGTAACAGCAGAGCAAAACCCCTGGTGTTTCGGACACATCATCCTTTCTGACCATGTCTGTGCTCCCAAGCATCCAAACCATGGGGGGTGGTGATTGACAGCTGCTACAGTTACTTGGTTGCAGGAGAATGCAAACTGCCATGGAAAGTTAATTATTGTGTGTACAGCAAATTATCTGTCCCTAACGCCAGTAAACAGAGAAGATGATGTGATGGGAAAAGACTTCTGAAGTACGTTGGGGTTTTTTTACCATATATATTTTTATATATGTAAAATGTAGGTGTCAGTGTAATCTAACGGTGTGTGTGTCTATATGGAATCCTAGAATGATCTGGGTTGGGAGGGACCTTAAAGCTCATTTAATTCCAACCCCTGCCACGGGCCAGGGACAGGGCAGCCACAGCTGCTCTGGGCAACCTGTGCCAGGGCCCCATGACCCTCACAAGGAAGTATGTAAATATAAATGCACATATATTTATAGCCTCATACACACACTGCTGCGAATTAGAAATAGAATTTTACCCTCTATGGCTGAGACATAATCTGTCATGTCCATAAATGTAAATTTTTACCTAGGAACTGACCTTGACCAGGTTGCTGAAATAGTTGGGTTAAAAGAAATAATCTGCAGCAGCTGCTTCATAAAATAGGCTCCTTTCTTTAAGGGGAGAGGATAACTTTTCTCAATATATTCTGTGGGTCTAAACTTTAATACAGAATTCTTGTCTGCACATTACCTAGGCACACCTGACGCATGTAGTAGGATTTCTCATGTGAGTAAAGCTCAGCTTGTTTAATCACAACAATAGTACTCATAGGGAGCCATAAACTGTTATGCTGTTGTTTATAATCCATGTCAAAAGAATAATTTGAACAAATACAAAGTTCTTTTAGGAAATTAGGATTTCTTATTTATTTTTGGGGAAAACCAACAAAACAAAATTATTTTACTACTTACTTACTGGCAAAGTAATTCTTGCTACATTACCTAGTTTAAAACTCACATCTCATTCAATTAAGATTTCAAACCATTGACAAAATGATGCTGTCCTGAAAAAAAATACTGCAATAGCTGCTATACACAAGCCCATAAATAACCTGCAAGATTTTCAAGCTTCAAAAGGCTGAGGGCAGGAAGAGATTGTTTAAAGATTCATTTGAGCATTTCTTATTCTGTACATTTGCTGCATTCAGTAACAACAAAAATACATTGCATCAAACAAAAGGAGTGGTGTTAGATAGCAATGGAACACATTTATGCTGTTGGGGTTTTTTACTTGTTTATCAAAACAAGAAGATACACCACCCCCAACCCAGTATTACAAATGCAGTGTTCCACCTCCTTAACCTCCTGTGCCATAAACAAGATAAACTGCTTCATCATAATGTTCAAAAGTTAGAGCACAGGATGCAGGTTATCCACACTGGATCTCAGTAGATACAGGATAATAAATGCTCCCTCAGTATATAATACATCTAAGTCACATTCAAAAGTACAAAACCAAAAACATTTTCATGCTCTTCTTATTTTCAGAGATCAGTTTTTAAGTATGTTATACCTGGATGAAAAACAGATTTAGCCCTTTAGAGTCCTGTCATTTTGTGCTGTCACTTCTATGTTGCAACTGTCATTTGTTGTGGGTTTTTTCCAAGCGGACCTTGATTAGTGACATAGGGCACCAATATATATATCAGCACAGGAGGAAATGCAGGCAAGGAAAATTGTGTAGAGGGAAATTCTGTTTCAAATTAAGAATTTGTTTAAAAAAAAGCTCTTATGTCCTCTGGTTCATTCAGACCTGTTTGTGCTATAATACAAAGATTAGAAATGATCCAAGAGGGTTTCAATCTATATCCATGGTCACAGTGTAAAAAAAATCCCACAAAACCAAACAACAAAACCCAAACCCCAAATAAAACACACAAAACCCCACATGCTCCAATATAAAAAAATAAGCTTAAATATGTTGTCTGCACACAATACAAACACTGAGTCTGTTATCACAGTACTGTTCTGTTGCAGTCTCCTCCATACATTCCAAGAGCTCCTAGATTCTACTTTGTCTTTGGGGGGGAAAAAAAATAATCATTCTCAGGCCAAGAACAGCCCATATATTTGCACAGCTGTGGGACAGTCCAATGCAGAAGAGGTGAAGAAAAAGCCATGCACAAAAGCCAAAGTAAAGACATAGTCATTTACATAGTTAGCTTTTACTGACCTGCCTTTTAGAGTTAGCTGTCAACAGGTTGAGTTAGTGAGCAACAGGACACATGACAAGCCTGTATGTTTCATGCATGTATATGTGTGATATACAGTACATCACATTCTGTTGCAGCTGCATAAATCCAGCATAGATCTGGTGAAACTAAGGTGATTTCTGTAGACTGTTTAAAATCATAGCCACAGACAGATTTTGGTGGACTGTGACGTTTCAGTTTGGTGACCATACCAATAAGTCTTGGCCAGGAAGAGGAAAAGGCAGAAAAGATCAATTTTTTTCTTAGTGTAGGAAGGAAACATGGAGAAAATATGGTCTGATCAACAATGAAATGCATTGAGGTTTTCTAACTCCACGTCTTTTTGATGAAACACATCCCTAAATTGAGTTCTAATTGATAAATGTTTCCTGTTCCCTAAAGATCAATTTACTTTTATTTTCTTCTTTACAAACGTACTATCCAATAAACAATTTCCACCCTGCACATTAGTGTGCAAATACCTTTCCTCTTGGAAATCAATAGCAGATATCTTGCTAGCTTCACTGGGACCAGAAATGGTCTGAGCTGCTGAAGATACAAATGTTTAATTAAGAAAAAAAAGATCAACACAAAAGCTCTTAGGCAAATCTTCAACCTCTTTTTTTGCTATTTCCCTCCCTTTGTACTATTCTGATAGCCCAGTAGTAGGAAAGCCAATTACCTTGGTGATTCCTGCAAACCAGTCTGTTAGGGAGACAGCTACTGCAAACAGGGAAGAGCTGGGGCTAAGGAGACGTGGCTACAAAGCCGCTCCGTGAAGGGGGACTCATCTTTGGAAATTGCTCTGGATCCCCCGGCTGCTGAGTAAATCCCAGAGCAAGACACATATTTAGGGACTCTGACCACCTCCAGGGCTTACAGTCTGCTTTAGCTCCATGTGGAAAGGTGCATTGTTGGTGCTCCAAACATCACCTCTGAGAACCTACAAAACACTGGTCAAAAGAAAAATTACAGTGTTTTTTTTTCTCCTTAAAGATACTTCGTAGCAGTATTCAAGCAGAAGCTATTAAGTGCTGAGCAGAGTTTAGAAACACAAAAGACTCTGCAGAGACCTATTTAAAAGATGTCTGTAGGTAACAATACATAGACTTATTTGTAGTCTAGCTGTCTTCACAGTATATCATTGTGTTACATTTTTATGGTTGGAATTCAGTGTCTCCATTTGACCAGGAACAGAGGAAAGATAAATCACAGTGCCAGGTTTTGATTCCAAAAGCTACAGCACGTTTGTGAAATGCACTTAATGGACAGCTATTGATTGCATCCAAAAGCTTCAGGCAAAACAATACAAATACTTTGCACTGCGATATGTGAGCAGATACAGATCAGCGAGAGAAATGCTGTGGACTGCTCTAGGACACCCTTAGCCACTTCTGCCTTTTATAAGTATGATGTAAACAGGAATATCTAAAATACCAGTAGGCCACGTACAGGAGATTTACATGTGACAAATGCTGTTTATGTGCAGAGAGACATAATATGTGTATATCAGCTTTGCTAATTCCATGCCCACCCTGGGAGCTGGGTAGCTGGAATGGGCTTCTCCCTCATGTCCTGGATTCCTTGTGGCATTTAAATTAATCACCACACTATGTACTTTGAATAAGCTTCCACTTTGATAATTGGATTCTGTAAGGTAATAAATGTAAACAGAGAGTGCACAGCAAGACCAGAATAGCCCCATTACATCACAATGAGAAGCATTTCATTTTGAAGCATAAAAAAATCCATCTTTCCAGAGGTATGTTGCCTTTCCTCCGTTCAGGGAGCTGCAATGATGCAGATAGCAGTAAGCCCCTTTTGCATACCTAGTGTTTTCATTGTTGCTGTCAAAACCATCCAGTGTATTTCTGTGCTATTATTACAGCTATTGCTAATAGGCAGGTGGTAGAAGGTGTTACAGTTTTGAAGGCAAGCAGATGAGGGCTATTTACTCAACAAAACAATACGGCAATTTCCAACTTGTTAGGCAGTGATTAAAAAGGCAGTTTTCTACTGGTATCAACAGTGAGGAAAAACTGGTGGACATCATGTCAGAAGTCCTGAATGTATGGCTTGATTTTCACTGAGAAGCTGGTATTACTGTCAGACTGCTGATAGATCAATGCGGTTGCCTGAATTGGTGCTTTTATCCCAGGTGTTCAGCTTTGTGGGGGTCGTGCCTGGCCTGTTCCCAGTCATCTGGAGAGCAAAACAATATTGAAAACAGATGTACGTATTTTGCTAAACCACTCTTATTTGGATGAAATAAAAGCTTGAAAACATTTATTTACATTACAGTGTTGTCACAGTCTTGAGAGCATATGCCATAAAGGATTTTCAAACAGGTACTGCCAGGATCTAAGGTGATTGGCAGTCATCACTTAATAATACCTATCACTTCAGAAGTCTGTTTCTTTATAGAAATAAATGTCTTTAAGAAGAGCTAGAAAAGCATATTCATGTGTTGACTTATTTAAGAGTGTATTCCTCAGGCTTAAATGTGAAAGTGCTCTATCAAAAATCCATCATCATCAGACAAATAAGTTGCCAAAATGCTGCTTGAATGCATAATGCAAAGTCCATTACAACTGGTGGGAACATAAACCTTTGTTTAATTTTATTTGCTAGTTTACCAGAAAGCAAAATTTTGTCCTTTGCTTTCAAAACACATTGTAGCTGCAACTTAATGCTCACTGATTCTACCTGTCTATGCCATGCATTAGGTTAGGTACTAAAAATACCCGTGTGCTGCCTTGTGTCCTGTTCTTTCCAACAGAATTTAATGGGCAACAACTTTCAAGTACAAGTCAAAAGTAAAAGGAAGCAAGGAATACTCACAATGTCCGAGTTGAAGGGTTTCACATTGATGTTGCGCGTTGAACTACTGGTAAGGGACCAGACCTTGGTTTTGTGCTTAAAGGCAGCTCTAACCTTCCGGAAAAAAAAGAAACCCAGTAGAAGATTTCTTCTAAAAAAATCCTGTGTGTTTTCACAGGTGCAGTTTTTACATTTCTTAACCATAAAATCGTTAACCAAAAATTGACAGAAAATGGTTTCTGAGGGTACAAATTCTCAATTTCTCATGAGGTTCCTGGAAAAAGGGCAGCAATTCTAACATTTGTATTTGATGTATGCCACTGGAAAGCCTGCTGAGCTTGGGAAAGACTAAAGAAACTTTTTTTTCCTCCTTACCTTTAGCGTGCCTGCTTAACGTCAGTTGATTTCAATAAAGATCAAGAATTCCATAGTCAGCCCTGACCTTCCCAACTGATTGTAGCAAGGATCATATCAATGCCCTAAGACTGAATAGGTTGGCAAACACTAATAAATAATAGCATCTCCACAGAGGAGCTGGAGTGCTACCGTTACACGGGAAGAAGCAGCAGGCCATAGGGCATTCAGAAGAAATTGCTGCGGGAGAATCCAAGCTGTATTCCCCAAGCAGCACTCCCATGAGCCAGAAATGGTGTTCATAAGAAACTTTTGTTGTAATAGACATTGCTGCACATTTTCTGCTATCTGCCACGGGAGGAGAGGATAATGCAAACCCCAGGCCCAGCAGAGATGGTTTCCACAAGCCCTGTTGACATCAGCCTTGCCGTAGCTTTATCCCAGCTGCTCTGAGACAGCCTTAATGCAAAAAGATGCCTTGATCCACTATGAAAACCTGCCAAGAAAAATACCTGGAATATGTCCTGCTCTGTTTGGTTTCCCATTAAGGACTGCATAAGCAATGTCCAAAAGTATGTTTTGCTGAGAATAGTATTTATTTTCCTCTCTGGAACTGCAGATGTAACAAAGCCAGAGGCCCCCAATGGGGACTGCCAGAGCCAGTCCTGCTCCCACTCTTTAAGCATTCTTCCTTAGTAGCATAGCCCACGCCTTGCTCGGCAGCCCTCAGCTGATCAGTGGCATAGCAGGCAATGATAATGGAGAAAGTCTTTTTATTATATTCATGTTACTTGAATTTGAGAACACCAAATTAGTTAACACCATTGGTTACATACCTCTGAATTCAGAAGACAGTGAAACAGGAACATGAAAAAACCCTGAAAACAGATAAAAAGGAGAAGGGTGAAGTCTGACATACAATAAAATATTTCTTGCAATATTAAATAAAGCAGGTATTGAGTAGATGGAGATGTACAAATATCAAAGAGTGGGCCAAACCGTGCCCTACATTAAACTGGAGACGCCTGCAGCATTAGGTTACCATGAGGCTTGTCTGGACCTTTTCCTATTAAACAGCATCTCCTAATCTTTGGGGTGTCAAGGAGAAACCTGGCTGTAAAGAACAAGGAATTCTGTTTTCATGACAAGAGAACATTTCAGCTGTGCTTGCAAAGATAAAGGCAGAGGGAAGTACTCTTTGGGAAATGCCAGATCAACATTTTTCACATTAGAAAAGCAAGGTTTTAGCATTGCGAAACTTTTTACAACAGAATTTTGCTATCCTTGGGCTTTTTGTCCAACGGGAAGTGAAAAGATTCCATACCTTTCCCCTCCCAAAAAATTACTTTCTTTTAGGGGAATGTTCAGCTGAATTTACGGGGTTTGTTTCGGATGATAACTGGAACTTTCCTTGTCAGTTCATGGGGAGAACGCTGCTGCACTCTTTTAAGTATTGTAACTCTTGTAAGTGCTATTTGTTCCTGAGACATAAAAAGATTCTTCCCCTTTGCAACCAGTATTTGGGAAAGAATTACAATTGCCAGCACTGTGTGGTCAGCACGGGCTTAAAAGACAAAAGAAGGAACATACTAAAAATCCAGTATACACAAGCATGTGCAAACAGTAATAATGATCCACTTACTGGATCTCTGCAGCAGTCTGGTAACCATAAACTTTTCCACCAGGTACTTACTTGTAGTGAATTGAAAACAGCAAATATATACTGAAATACTAATGCATGGGCATTGACAGCCAAAACCCCAAAGATCCACGAGCTTCCCAAGATTGGTAAGAGAACAGCAACAGCTTTAGCTGTTAGCCTGAAAGAGAACACAAAAATAGGAAATGTGGTGAGACAGTTAAACGCGCTCCAGCGCACACAGCAGGGAGTTTACCAGTGCTGTCTTGGCAGCAAAATGCTTTCAGTGGGCAAGTCTCTTAATTACTCATTCATTATCAATGAAAATGGGGATAACAGAACCTCATTATCATATAGGATAAATACAGGTGGAAAGTCAGTAACTGAGAGTGCAGGGGAAGAGATGGAGAGATGGTCACGTAACTACTGTGGCCATATCTGCAGTTAGAGTGAAGTAGTATTTGGTTGGTGAGGAGTCAAGTGTAAGAGTCAAAAAACAGAGAGCAGAAACTGAGAACAAAGACAGCATCACCTGGGAAAACAAACCCCACCACGTAGTACATGCAGAATACGCTTGCTCAGCGCTATAGCTGAGTCAAGACAATACAGGATTTCTCTTATAGAGTGACTTGGGATTTTTAATCACCACACATAGAAGAAACATGATGTACTGCTGCCAAATGCAAATCCTCTAACACCCCAGTATTACTCTTCTGCCACCCTGCTTTGTTCAGAGTCAATTCAGAGAAATGTATGCCAAATATTGAAATAGGTTGTGTGTCTTGGAGGTCCCTGCTGAGACACGTTCACTCGGCTCAGCTTGGAGGTCTTGGCAGAATCTCCATAAAAGGTGGTGTGACAACTGGAAAGCTGATATAACTGAGAACGTAAGAGGGATTTTTGGGTTTGCCTTAATGAGTTATGTACAGCATGTGTTATAGTGAGAGACAAAAAGAAACTGTAGTATACAAGAGAATGGAATCATCACAGAAAGTTCTCTGCAGCAGCTGAATTCCAAGGACCAAACTTTAAATAGAGTGTAAACAAAGGGAAGCACAGAGCAAACAAAGGCATCGCATTTAGACTTCTAAGATCACGGTCAGGTCTCTCCAATGTATTCACTACCTCCTACATTAACCACCAAAGAACTATCCACTTTCTAAACAGAGCTTATTTCCTTCATCTGCAACAGGAATTAAGGGCAGCCAAACCTCAGAGCGCTCAGGACCCTGTAGAACAGGCACAGGTAATATTTTGATCTGTTTTCTGCTCGGCATAAACGTTGCTAATCTCTCTGCAACCGAGTATCACTCAGCTGCTTCCAAGGCAGACAGGCACAACTGATAAGATGAAACTCACAAAGATTATTGCTTATCCCACACTATTGTCTTCTCCTTAGGAAGCCCTCAGAGCACCATCTCTGCTTCATGCACACTGAATTGCTCCAAAGAATTGTGCCTTTGTGTCTGCATAAACCCTGTAACATTGACTTCAAGGGTATTGTAGTAATAGCTGTACAGAGTGTTTCTAGTGTAATCACAGAAAAACAAGACAAGCGGATTACCCGGTGGAAGTCCTTGCCACAGGATACTGTGGACATCTAAAAAGGATCCTATAAATTCTCAGAAGGTAGTTCTGTTGTGGATTGTTAAATGTGACAATTCAGATGCAGCTGCTTGTGCAGGAAGTCCCTAATCCTTTGTGTGCTGAGAGATGGGAGTATGTGATCAAAGAATCACTCTGCCTGTCCTTTACAGTGGGGATACAGGGTTGGATGGACCCCCAGCCCATAGCTTTAATCAGAGACAGCAATCCTCCTGTTCTCAGCCTAATCCATCTGGCTTTTTGATTAAAACAATAAACACCTTCACAGCTCGTTTTCACATCAATTTGACCCAATAAAGGCAGTGTAAAACAGAGCAGGGCTAGGTGACCACTACTGGAGTTATTAAGTCATCCCTCACATTTTCCCAGCACTGGGCAACCCAAAAGCATTCATGACATCCAACCGCTATGTAATCATTCAAAACCCACCACAAATCCCACAGGGCAAAACATTCTTCTGTCAAGACACTACTAACCAGGCACCCAGTGAAATTTTGCCTGTCAGGGATGAACAGAAGTCAAACCTTTGCACACCCAGGCACCAGGTTATCAGTGAAGGCTCTCAAAGGACAAACTCTTCCTCCTGGGCAGCTGAGTACAAATGTGGTGGTACAAGACAAAAAGCACAAAGAAGGGACCTGTCCCCATCTGAAACATCCTTGAACCAACAAGGCAGATCTAATCCGTACTTATCACATCACTTACTTACAAACACTTTACTCCTGTTGTAGCACTTACAATTCAATGTGTTTAAAATATTTCAGTGAATTCAGTCTATGGTACAATACACATAAAGAAGCCAAGAGGGCAGTGAGGGAACAGGGCTAATGAGAATCCAAAAGTCAGTCCATGATCATTAAAGCCGTATTTTTGTCAGAAATCAGCACATTTCTATCTAGCTGCAAACCTATGCAAGAGAGAAGGTTGTTTTAGGGAGATTAATATCCAACTACTGCCTTTTACCCCCTCATACAGATGAAAAGTCCAGGTTCAAGACAGAAGTGCACAGAGCTGCACAAGAGAACACTTGTAATTAGAACAACATAAAACAAATGAGAATTTTGTACAACACAATCCTAGGAAGAAATCTTTTAATTAAACTTCGAGACATCATCTTCATTTCAGTGACCTGAGCACACACATCATTATAGCCTTGATTAAAAGTCTATGCGAAGAACTGCACAGGCTTCAGGTTTAAAAGGAAATCTGGGACAGGGAAGAATCTGGAATCTTTTTTTTTTCTTTTCTTTTCTTATTCCTGTATTGATTTGTATCTTTATGTCCTTGGCCATGAATATTTCTGCACAATTCAGTGTCATTCTGCAAAGGGTTTGTTCAGCCAGAAAATGAAGGAATGCCTTAAAGCTTCAGCTCTCCAATTTAACTTAAAAATGTATTTTAAAAGATACAATTTTAAAACAACTGAAACAAATTTATTTTTACGAATCAAGGACGTTTTGGTATTTTTTTTCCTCTGTTAAGATTAAAGTTCATCACCTCAGCTCTAACACAAGCTGTGCTCCACTAGGAGCTGCCAGCAGACCACCTTCTGCAATCACCTTTGTGCAGAAAAACCTGTGTAATACTACAGAGCCCTCGGGCCTTCGGGAAACTGCATCTGTGCAAGGCTTGGGACACACTGAGGGGAAGATACACCAACACCTGGAAGATGGATTCAGGTACATTCAGGTTCCACAAGGGTTTAAATGTCCTCTCTAACCTAATACAGGAGGCGATTAAGTATGCCCAACACAGCTATGCTTGCAAGACTGTCTTCATCACAGACCACCCTTTTTTCTTTTTCTCTTTTGTACTCACACTCTCAATTTGCAGTAAATTTGCAGTTTGGAATATAATTTTCCCCAGCTGGTTTGTTGCCAAAAATAAGTTTTCATTATTTCTTTTTGAGTCAGAGCATAAAAAGCTTCATCTGTAATTTGTAGCTGGGGGCAGAAGAGAGTGAGTTACTCAATTTCAGTGTTTTGAAAAGCACTCTTGCAGTTTGGATTTTCAGGAGCTTTTAACATAACAAATACCTTACAGATTTTTTAACATCATGTATCAATAAAGACTGTTAAGCACCATGAAGCGCAGGGGTCAGCACATGTGCAGCAGAAAGGCATAGCTAACAGTGAAAACAAACTACAGACACGTGGGATTTTTCCATGCAAATGCACTAATGTTTCATGCACATTCATTTAGAAGAGCAGCCATGTGAAATTCACTTAAGACTATCTAAGGGTCAGCTCTGCATATATATCACTTAAATCTCATTAAGTCTTCTTTTCTTTTGCCTAATTATTGCACAGCTTCCTATGCTTGCATGCTCTGAATTTCATCCTCTGTACGAAATTACTCGTTCAAGGTGTTTATGAGCTTGACTCACAAAGCAAAGGACTCTGCCCTGGTGCTCTTTTTTCTCCCTTCTCCTTCCTCCTCCCACTCCCATCCTTATTTCATTTTATCTCTGAACTTTAAAAAAGAAAAACACTAAATGTAAAATGCTGCATCAGAGCACCATTAAGGTGGCAAGGTTAAAAATCTCAGCAATACAGAAGTTACTGTTCCACTCAGCACGTTAATTCCGACACGCTGCACATACTTTATTTTTTTTAATTCCCATTTTTCTTTGCTACATGAATATTTTAGTAGATTAGTTCTAGTACACTAAGATATAAAGCACAATGAAGTACATGTTGGTTTTGGAGAAGGAATACTGCATATGACTTAAACTGTGCAACCTTAAAAGTCGCTACCATCTCTTGAACCTTCTATTGTCTCTGGCACTGCTGACAGGAAGAAGCAACACTCTGTGGCAGGGGCAGGTCTCACTCTGCAAATATTGAGGTCCAGCCCCACCAGGACTTCATAAACTTTGCCAAAAACTGTCTTTGCCCTTATGCCCTAACGTGGTAGAAAACAGAATGGCCACTGCATTATGAAGGACCCTCCACATTTCTCCTGAGTGCCCCTCCTCGTGCTCTGGCTGTTGAAATTAGAAGCAACCTAACAGCCTGCTTCTCACATACACTTTGAAAAGCTCAGACATTGGTACTCTCCTGCACTCTAATGGCATTCAGTTTGGTGAGCTTTCAATCTCTCTGCATCTACACACACTGAATGATCAGCCCTGGAATTAATTAGGAACAGAGCAGAACCAGTACAAAGATTTCTTTCCTTCTTTCTATTCTTTCCTTTTGCCAATGTATTATTTTTAAGTATGTACCTGTTATGACTTAGACAACTTCTGGAAAACACAAAAATATCTCAAGTCTGATGAAGTCTTTATATCCAGTGTACGTGGAATAGCCTTTGGGATATTACTAAGCTGTACATGGACTATCTAGCAATTCAGTCTACAGTTAGGGTTGTTTCTCACTCTGCCCCACCACTAACAATCTCCTCAGCCAGGCTGCAGAGACTCCTGAAGCATCATCTCTCACCAAGAACCACTCTTTGCCATTCCTTTTGATTTCTTTCAGCTTTGTATGGTTGTTTATTGCTAAGGGATAGGCACTGCACACCCAGACCTGCAGAGGCTGCCCATACGCTGCTGGCCATGACAAGTTATACACA